CATTATCATTGAGCATTGAAACTTGTAAGGTTTAGGATGATCTTGGGTTGGAATTTGCAACTTTTTGATCAACATGATACTTACGATATTAGTGCAGCTTCCACTATCATTTACAAGACTACAAGGAGTCCCCTTGACTATACACCTTGTGTGAAATAAGTTGTCTCTTTGATTATCAACATCATTGTCTGTAATTTGAGTTTTAAGAAGTGTTCTAGTAACAAGTGCCAAGTGACTCCCATCTTCCAGTTCCTCCTCATTCTCCTGGATTTCTCTTCATCTAGCTCATCTTGGTCACTTTTCTCACTATATGTGACAACTTGTCCATTCTTGATGATCATGACTCTCTTGTTAGGACAATCACGACTAATATGACCAATTCCTTGACATTTCCAACATTTGACGTCTTTATTTCTTTCTCAAACCTCCTTATATTCCTCCGCTTTCTCTTTACCTTTGGAGGTCTCAACTTTAATATTTTTGTCAAGCTCATACTTGCCCCTAACTTTGAAATCTATCTTTTCAATATTTGTATTCTTTTTCCAAGTGTTGCAAGTAGTAGACTTTGGAATACCATACCTCTTGGAGTTCTCCTTCTCCCAAGCTAGTTGTCTTTCGATCTTGACAACAAGGTGTGACAATTCTTGCATGTCAAAGTATGTTTGCCTATCTACTTGATGAGCAAGTTGTCGGTTTAACCCACCAAGGAATCTAGTCATTGTATCCTCCTCGTCTTCATCAATAGATGCTCTATTCATAAGGACCTTCATTTCTTTGTAATATTCTTCAACACTTTTGGATCCTTGTTGCAAAGTATAGAGTTTTTGCTTGAGTACTCGAGAATCATGCGTAGGAATGTACACTTTTCTCATTAATGTCTTTAATTTCTCCCACGTTTCAATTGGTTCTTCATAATATCTCCTCCATTCTGATTTTAAAGATGTCCACCATATAATGGCGTAATCACAAAATTTAGCCACAACAAGTTTCAACTTTCTTTCTGCACTGAAATTGTTTCTGTCGAAAACATGTTCAATTTTGCTCTCATATTGCAAATACTCCTCTGGATCAGATCTCCCATAGAAAGTTGGAATTTTCGGCTTTACTCCTCCGACAACTCTTTCTTCTCCTATCTCATACTAGTACTCCCTCTCAATTTTTTTTGGTGCTAAAATTTTTCTACCCCTTCTTTTGACTTTTCCTCTCCCTCGACCAACATCTCTCCCTCCCCTAGGACTCTGTCTTGCTAAAAGGTTGTCATTGTCATCTTCTTCATTTTCAACTCCTTCATTCAAGAGTACTTCCCTTCCTTGAAGATTACCTAAAGCTATTTCAATTCGCTCCATCCGGTCTGTCAATGATCTCGATCTTGGAATATAAGGTTTGATACTACGATCAAATCTTATGGCTTTAAACAGAATGTTGACGAACCTTGTGTTTACAAGAAGATAGTCAACTCTATGGTAGTTTTCCTGGTGTTATACTTTGACGAAATCCTACTCATAGGGAGTGATGTGGGATTTCTAACTGACATTAAGCATTGGCTAGTGACACAATTCCAAATGAAAGATTTGGGAGAGGCTCAGTCTGTTCTAGGAATCCAAATTGTTCGGAAATGCAAGAATAAAATACTAGCATTGTCTCAGCATCATACATCGAAAAAATGTTGGTTCGATATAAGATGCAGGACTCCAAGAAAGAATTATTACCTTTCAGGTATGGAGTTCATTTGTCGAAGGAACAAAGTCCTAAGACACCTCAAGAAGTTGAGGATATGAGACATATTCCCTATGAATAAGCAGTCGATAGTCTGATGTATGTCATATTGTGTACCCGACCCAACATATGCTATGCTTTGAGAATTGTCAGCAGATATTAGTCCAATCCGGGACATGCTCATTGAACTGTTGTTAAAAATATCCTCAAGTATCTTAGGAGAACGAGGGACTATATGTTAATGTACGGCGCTAAGGATCTGATCCTTACAGGTTACACTGACTCAGATTTTCAGACCGATATCGATTCGTGGAAATCGACATCAGGATCTGTTTTTCACTCTGAATCGAGGAGCAATAATATGGAGAAGCATAAAGCAAGGTTGCATTGCTGATTCCACCATGGAGGCTGAGTATGTTGCTGCTTGTGAAGCAGCGAAAGAATCTATATGACTTAGGAAGTTCTTAATTGATTTGGAAGTTGTTCCAAATATGCATCTGTCTATCACTCTTTATTGTAATAATAGTGGAGCAGTTGAGCGCAAATATCATCTCATAAGGGAGATTGTGCAACGAGGAGATGTGATTATCACAAAGATAGCTTCAGAGCACAACATTGCTGATTTATTTACGAAGCCCCTCATGGCTAAGGTGTTTGAAAGGCACCTAGTGAGTCTAGGACTACGAGTTATGTAATCTAGGGCAAGTGGGATAAAATGCATGGGTACGTGATGCCCTAGTTTATTGTATTTATGTCTTTCCCTCTACTCAACATTATAAAACCCCACTAGAGTTTTAGTCCAAGTGGGAGTTTGTTGAGTTTTATGTCCTAAAACTCATAATTTGTAAACAAAAATATATTCTATTTTCAATAAAGTTATTATTGATGTTTATTCAGTAAAGATTGTTATTGAATAAAGTGAATTTTACGATCATTAATCTAAATTCAATAAATTAAGAATATTCTGGCTATAGTATGATTACTTGAACTTTATGTAAAGACATAAGAGTGGATCAAGTTCAAGTATATAGTCAAAATGATCTATAATATAGGGATAAGGCTGAGTACCTTATCTTGGGGACACTATGGATGCATTTTGGTATATGATATAAACAATGTGATCACTAAATTGTACATGTGGAGACATGTGAGTGGGGGCGTCCTATGTAATGAGTATTCCATAAGATTAGACTATGAAAAAATCACTCTCACTTTATAATGTTGTTTACTGTTGAGATTGATTTTTTCACTCGATGACCTAGGTAACTCGACCTTAATCCTTAGCTAACTATGAACCACTGTTTATTTAGAATTATCCTTAGATTTGTATGAGTGAGAGTGACCCGAGTTCGCCGACTCAATAAACCTCCCATTTCAAGGGTAAGACTAGGTGACTAGCTAGGGACATAGGGTGCAAGATAGAATTCACTCCTACCTGCTTTTAGGGATAGTAGAGAGGTTGTTCCCTTAAGTGCTGACTCCATGTCTTGAACAAGGGGCCCCACCCTCTCATTGGCCTGAGAGGGATTCGGTTTGGAGGTTGGGCCACAAACAAATTGTTCATTAGAGAAACAGTGGGACTTAAGGAACAAGAAGTAACTTTAGGGGTAAAAACGGTAAATTGACCGAGCTCTAGTTATGAACAACCCGTGAAGGATCGACTTACTAATCATGGTTATATCAAATGGACAAAAATATATCTATAGTGAGGGGAGTGCAACGACTAGACTATAATGGAGTGTTCTAATAGTTAACGAATGTTGGTTAAAAGGTTAATGAGTTTAGTTGGTTAATCTTGGATCCTTGGAGCTCATGATCTGTAGGTCCATTAGGTCCCCTTGCTAGCTCATATCAGACTAAACCTTAGAATAGTGTGACGAGTGAGTTTGAAGTATTCGAACTCAAATAGGGAATATGCGCTAATTATATACGATATATTTAACCGCATTTTGATTTAATTACGAATTAAACAAAATTAGAGAATTGAAGATATTTAAATAAGATTTAAATATTTTAATTATCAATAGAAATTCATAATCAATATGTGCCATAATTGATTGGGATTAGTATTTGATTTAATGTTAAATATAATTAAATTGTTTAATCAATAATTTAATATTATTTTGATTTGAAATTAATTATTTAAATTAATTGTTGAATTAAAATAGAGAAAGTCAAAATGTTGACTTCACTTCATCGAAAAATCAAACACAGTTAGTGGAATATTTAGTGTTAATGTATGGTTTAACCAAACTTGTATGGTTTGCCAAATAAACTCCACAAATTTGAGTGAAATTTTGAGTATCAAAATTTGTTTAACTCAAACTTTCATGCTTGCCACATAATCCCTCCTAATCTCAAATTTGCACGACCATACAAATATGAAGTACATGAAAATTCTTCTTGAAAAACTTAGAAAGTCTCTCAAAACTCTATGTTTACATATACTAAATTCCTATCAAATTTAGTCACTCGTCAGATTTCACAATCTCGTTCTAAGGCTGGAGAATAGTAGAGAAGATACTAGTGGTGGTTCGAAACCGGTTCATGAGGAAAAAAGAACTTGACCTACAAAAGATTAGTATTCAAACTCATTGAGTTTTAATGCTTTTAAACATGCTAGCTAATTTACTATAATTGATGTATTTAGAGTGGGTAAGATCCAAATTGCTTCCGCACGTGTTATAGTAACACCATCATCAACATAAGGTAGCTTGGAAACTTTTTAAAGTTCGAACAGTGATTAAGGCCTAAAATAACAAGTTATCAAGAGAAACAACTAGCGTAGGAATTATTCTTAAATTTATGCACTGACTAAGATACAAGTCTTCAAAACATGATCGAGACATGAAGATGCAGCGAAGTCAAGAATTTTCTCTAATAAAGTAGGGTAAGTAAAATCAACCTTTTACCATCCTAAAATACATGGAAAAAAAGAAAAAAATAAATAGTATGTAATTAACTGTTTTTTCTTAAAATTTATAAATATATAAATGATTTTTTCTTAAAATTTGTTATCATAATTAACTGTTTTTCTTTTGGTACATAAATATAAATTTGTACCTTTTTTAAACACAATCAAAATATAAATACCTTCCATCCTTCCTCTAAATGTTGGAGGTGACTATGTTACCCATCTAATCCCACCAAAATTTTTGTAATAAAATAGGTCGACATGAGTAAATCCATGTCACTCAATCCACTTTAAGTTATCCGATAAATATTTAAGATTTGTAGAAAATCTTGCATTTCCGAGAATAAGTAATCTTAAACTTTTATTCTTTTAAAAGCTCGTAGATCTACCTCTAAGTCTTGTGGAATTAGGCAACTCCAACTTTATGGCTTTAACTGCATCATCAGTTCCCTGCAAATTCATAACCATCCCCATTTATTGGAAACAAGTAAATTGAAGAATGTTTGGGTAAGAGTTACTCACAAAGTTATCAATAAACACTTTTAAAATATCTTGTTCTAACCACAATCTAATCCTTTTTTGGGCTCAAAAGATTCACTATTGACTATTTTATGGCCGACCGAGTTGTATTAAATCCTTTATTTCCACCTTATCATTTTCAACCATAAAAGTGAAAGATCCATGAGGACTTAATTCCAAAATGTGGATTGAGATGACATGCGTTTAAAGTTTTCTTAACGTAGTCAACTTTTTCTCCCACTAGCAAACAAGAAATATCGAGGAAAAACTCCTTTTCTTTTTCTTCAAGTCCATCAAAATTTATTTGAAGATATCACTTATGTCTTTGTTCTCAAAGAGTTCTCAAATTCGTCTAATATACTTCTCCCATATGTTGGGTCATCTCTAGTACAAAGGAAAGAACCAAAAACAACAAGAGCCAAGGGATGACCATTACAATAACTTGTAGTGTGTTTTGAAGGGTCTACGCAAGAACTTGGTTGATGACTTTTCTTAAAATCATGCCAACTAAAAATTTCAAGGGCGTGGTCGTGATTCATTCCTTGAATACCGTACTTTTGATCAAATTCATGGGTAGAAATCAAAGGATTGTTTCTTGTTGTCACAATGATCATACTACTAGTGCCAAACCAATCATGTCTACCAACCAATGCTTCTAACTGCTCAAGCTTATCGACATCATCAAGAGCCATAAAGACTTTCTTTGAATGCCTTCAATGCATTATGAAGTTAATTCCTTTCTCAAGATTGCCAACTTTCAAGTCTACCTTGAAAAAATCATGGAGTAAGTGTTCCTGTAGTTAAACATTCAAGCTTTAAAGCTTCCCTAACTTTTGATAGAAAGCAGCCAGCTTCAAATTTGGTTAGCATTTTGTTGTATAAAGCTTTGGTAAAAGTGGTCTTACCAATGCCTCCAATCCCATATATTCCCACCATGTAAACGACATTTTTGGGCTCATGTTGTGTCCAATAATGGGAGTATGAACTTAACTTTTTTACTTGAAAATCAATTCCAAGAGGATACTTTGCTACATATAAGGGCGTGTGATAAGTGTCACAATCTGCAATATGATTGTGACTCGAGTAAGTCATCATACTATGGTTGTGACAGTCTCCTCCACTTAAATTAGTCATCGTCTTCGATGACTTACTCGAGTCACAATCACATTGCAGATTGTGACAATAAGCGCCAACAATGCTGAATTTTGCAAAGTTAGAGGTCCTAGAATTCTTGCAAACATTCACAAAAAAAAAAGCTAACTTAACGAATTGATTCCAACCAAGAGTCGATTAGAAGATGAATAACTCTTAGATCGAACTTGAAATCTATGATGGTCACTCTTAGATACCAATTCACTCCAGAATTAGCTTGATCAAAACTAATTCAATGAATCGGTTTAAATATCAAACCTAAAACAAGGTTTGAAAAAGAATACCACCAAAAAAGTATCGAGAAAACACAAAGGTTTTGTTTGTATTCAACACTTCATGCCAAAACATGAATATTACATGCCTTTAAATAGGCCCAAAAGATAACCCTAACATAATAGAGTTCAACCACCAACTACAAATCACTCATATTAGATATAAATTGAGGAAGACATTCATAAATTGTATTCATTGGTAATTCAACTACCAATGGTAAGTTTTTTAATCACTTTCTAATGTCAGCCACTCCATTATTTTCTTGATTTCATACTTGAATCTTCTTTATATTGCTTCTTGTAATTGCTCGTTCGGGTACATGAAAGTGATCAGTTGTTGGATTCATATCATCCCCCGTTTCTTTAAAAGGATTTGTCCTCAAATCAAATTCTTCGTTCTTTCCGGACAAGAACTGTATATTGTTTTTTTTTTCTCTACTAATATATTTTTTTCTCACATTTTTTTTTTCTTTCTTGGCTTTCACCCCTCACTTTTCTCTTTTTTTCACTCTATCTCTCTCTTTTACCTTAGTTTCTTCTCTCCACCATTGTTCTTCATATTCTTTTCTTTTCTTCTCTAATTTCAATGGGTCACAATGTACTTCATATGGAGACAATAAAGTAAATTTCTTCTTACATAAAGTAAAAGTATACTTGTTCATCAAACTATCAAATATTACCTTTCTATCATATTGCCAAGGTCGGCCGAACAAGATGTCCCCCGCATGCATTGGTACGACATCACAAAGAACTTCATCCTTATATCATCCAAAACTTAAAGAAATAAGAGTTTGGGAGTTCACCTTAATTTCTTAATTGTTTGCCAACCATTGAAGTTTGTATGGTTTTGGATGGGGATGTACAAAAAGTTGAATTCTTTTTACAAGGAAGCTGCTTACCACATTTGTGCAACTTCCACTATCAATCACCAAGCTGCATGGGGTTTCCTTTGATCAAACATCTTGTGTGGAACAAGTTTTCCCTTTGATCTTCAAATTTCTCTTCCTTGATTTGAACATTGAGTACCCTTCTTGTGATCAAAGATATGAAATTACCTTCTTCAACATACTCATCATCACATGGTGCGATTTCTTCCACGAGCTGTGAATCATGATCCTCACATTCATCATTCGAATCAAGTATATCATTCCCTTATCACCATAACTTTTTTTATTAACACACTCTTTGCTCATGTGTTCAAACCCTTTGCACTTTCAACATTGAATAGAACTAGACTTCTCATTTACCGTCTTTGAAGCTTCATTCTTTTTTCCATTGGAATTTTCACCCTCCACTCTTTTAGCAGTGACAAACTTTTATTTTGGTGACATCGATTCATTTCTATTCACAAAACTATCCTTGTTCCAAGTTTTAGAATTTGAAAAGGTGTTAGTTCGTGATGTGTACCTTTTTAAATGTTTTTTTTCTTCCTTCAAATGGTCTTCAATTTTGAGAGCATAATGATACATGTCTTCCAGATATGGTGGTGGATTTCTGTCAACAAGATGAGCAATTTCTCGATTCAAACCTCCAAGGAATCTAGACATGGTATCTTCTTCTTCTTCTCTAACATTTGCTCTTTCCATCATAGTCTCCATCTCTTGATAATATTCCACCACACTTTTTGTTCCTTGCCTCAAACCTTGTAATTTAGTTTTCAAATTTCTTTCATAATGTTTTGGAACATCCTTTTTCTCATGGCTTCTTTAAGTTCTTCCCAAGTCTCTATTGGATCCTCCTATTTTCTTCTTCTCATTGGTAAATTCGGCAATAGCAAGTCTCATCTTCTTATTTTCACTATAGGTGTTGCAATCAAACACATGCTATATTTTTCTTTCCCATTGCAAGTATGCCTCAGAATCTGTCGTTCCACAAAAGGGTGGGATTTTGAGTTTAACTCCCCCATCTCTATCTTCATGTACTCTCTCCATCCTTCTAGGTTGTATAATAGTTGCATGGTTATTTCTTCCTCTCCATCTTCCTTTAACTTGTCTTTCTTGTACTACTATACCTTTCATCTTCTTGTAATGTTCATTCTTGTCTTTGTTGTTCGCCCTTCTTTCTTGTCTATCTTCCATCATCATTTCCATCATACCTTGAATTACTTGAAGAATGGTTGTATTAAGATCTAGTACTGGTGGTACTCCTTCTCCATTATGTGACATTTGTTATCAAGGGACCTGATAAGATAAGGAATCACTACAAGGGGAGTAAGATTCAGATTACCTTGTTGATCGAATATCTCAAGACAAGAACATTGTTTGAGATTCGAATCACTCCACAAGTAAGATCGATCATGTCTAGCTCGAATAATTCTTATTGATCAAATATCTCAAGGCAAGAACACTTGCTTGAGATTCGAATCACTACACAAGCAAGATTGATTATGTCGAGCTTGAATGATTTTACATGCAACCTAAACTACATAGAATTGCAAAGAAACTTAGTCATTGGCTAAAGAAAGCACAAATGCTCATTTTACTATATTTTTCAAGTCTACTTATAAATACAGCATACATGGCTTTATATAGCCTCAAAATGAAACTATTAAAGGCATTCCAAGAGTTGTAACATTCATACTTAATGGTCATAATTAACCATTATGTAATTGTAACCTAAAGTAAATAATAACTCTTAAAATGCATCAATGAAATACATAACTCTAAATTGTAATCCACCCAAAATTTATAACATGAAACTTCATTCTTCTTCAATTTGGCATGAATTGAAATATCTTTTCATAATTTCAACAATATTTTCTTCACATCTTCATTGAAGCATATTGTATGATTAATGTCTCTTGGTTCATATCAGGACCTCTCTGCACTTCTCACAAAAATTTCACTAAGGGATACTCGTGTTTAACACTCAAAGGTAGGCTTTTGGTACTAGGTCAAGAATGTAAAGCCTGTCTTTTTTAAGCTTGATTATAACCAATTCAACAACCAACTCTAACAAGACTAGTATCTCAAAGATCACGAGCTTGAAAATTTTGAACAAGCTCAAATAAATAAGAACTGAATATATATATATATATATATATATATATTTTTAGAACTGACTTTTTTTTTACTAGAGATTTTTTTTTTTCTACTAATTCTTCTTCTTCTTCTTTTTTTTTATACTAATTCTTCTTTTTTCTTTTTCTTTTTTTTTTCTTTTTCTTTTTTTTTTAATACTAGAGAGAGAGAAAAAAAAATAACAATAAAGATATTTCACCCCTAGAGCGAACAAAGAACATCAACCAAATGCTCTGATACCAAATGATAAGCGCCAACAATGCTTGATTTTTGCAAAGGTAGAGGTCCTTCTAGAATCCTTGCAAAACGTAAACAGAGAAAGCTAACTTAACGGATTGATTCCAACCAAGAGCTGGTTAGAAGATGATTGACTCTTAAGATCGAACTTGGAATCTATGATGATCACTCTTAGTTACTAAGACAATTCACTCAAGAATTAGCTTGATCAAAACTAATTCAATGAATCGGTTTAAACATCAAACCTAAAACAAGGTTTGAAAAAGAATAACACAAAAAAGTATCAAGAAAATCACAAAAGTTTTGTTTGTATTCAACAATTCATTCCCAAACACTAATATTACATGCCTTTAAATAGGCCCAAAAGATATCCCTAACATAATAAAGTTCAACCACCAACTACAAATC